TTTAGGAAGAGGAATCTGCGAGTGCAAAAAACATAAAACATTGCCGGAACCGGGTCCAAGCAAGGGACCTTCTTCTGTCTGAATATAAACAATATAGCAGCAGACATAAAATAAATCTGAATAAAATCACACAAGATTTTAGTGAGTCAATTTAAGTTAGGCCTATCAATTTTATGATAAACAATACTGACCTCACCATGTTTCATCAGTGCAACTGCCATCTTTAGCAGAAGCATATTGTTACACTGAAGATGGTAGTTGCACTGCTGAAATATGTTTGAGTCGTCTTAAAATAGCGCTAATCAGCAACGTTAATATCTTACTTCCAAACGGCTGTCCGTCCGCCAGAAATAAATTAATGTAGAAGAACAGCAGGTGAATGAAATATGTGTTCCATCGGTTATATCCTACATACTTCGCCATTTGATTCTCGGAATAAGAAAGTTAACGAGTAAAGAATTTGTATATTTGATAATTGAATTGAGTTAAAAAACAACGTCAAATTATCGCATTCTGAGTGAGACACCTTCCTTGACATTCACAGCTGGATTGAGCCTATTTAATGGTTAGATCGATCAAAAGTAGAGCGCATTGATCGTATTATATTGCAGTGCCTTATTCCTTCAATAACCAAGCTTAGTGTCTCGGAAACGAATATTTTTATTCGTATTTCTATTATTTGAATAATAGTTAGTACGGTATGTACGCAATAATCTTAGATCGAATCTTATTGGTCACATAAGCCTTTCTTTATATTTATTTTATTTTATGTATTTATTTAGCTTTTTATCTTCTTCATCTTCTTCGTCTTGTCAACATTATCATCATCATCATCATCATCATACTAATCATCATTATCATTTTCGTTGTCGTTATGTAAACATAACTTATAATGGACTAGCCAATATATAAGATAATATAATAATGTTTATAATATATGATTTTATAATATGCCTTTCTCTAAGCGAAACAAGGCAAGGAGTATGATACCTGCTAGGCTGATGGGATACGGTACAATAAAAACTGTATGTCACAACAGCATAATACACACAATTGAGACGTGTTAAAACGATATAGTTATAATGCTTTACTTTAGGTTACAAAAAAACAAAAAAATACAAAATCAAAATGCTTAATTAGAATCCTGGTGAGTTGCACGAAAAGGATTGGAATTCAGTTTCTCTCGTATTGTATATTATACGAGAAATATAACAAGAAATAACCATCACGTAAAAGGCAAGTAAAAGGACTATGACAAAATCACAAGCAAACAAAAATATATTTTAGAGTATATTTTTTAATATTTTAACAACTTTCCCGCAAATTCAACTTTCTTGCTGCAACATAGTAATTGATTATAGATGTTTTATTGTGAACGAATTATAGCTAATAAATATAACCCCTCCCCCCCAAAAAAAATAAATAAATAAATAAACAAATAAATAATTAAACAACTTTAGAATCACTTAAATTAATGTTGAGGAAATAATAAATTTAAGGATAACTTTTACTTTGATATGAAATGTAATTATTTTTGTCAAATATTTGAAATACATTTTCAGAAATATTTGTTTTCACAGTAGGCTATCCTACTAGACTTTATCAGGAAAACAGTGTTTATTGCATTGCAGAAGTGGTTTTAACTATTTCATACTGAACTACTTGAGATAGTCATCTTTTGTAAAACATCCTGTTAAAAGTTAAATTGGTAACTAATGCGTGGTACTATTCCTGAGCCACACAAGTACAAAAACATTTTAGTAAGTCAGTCATGACAAATCATAAACCTATTTATGTAACAATTGCAAAAACTATTGAAATGGTATGTACGTTATAATAATTAGTGATATGTATGACCTTATTCATATTGATCAATTTGCTTTAATAAAGGATAATTCTACAGTTACATGTCTCCATGGAGTTATTGACGATTGGCTCGAAGTAATAAATGAGCCTAATATGATTAGTTCCAATTTTTCTGGTTGTCTCAATTAATGTTCTGGTACAATTGATTATACTTTATTGTTATATGTACCTGAACTAAAAATTATAAGAATCAAATATATATGCGTTGACTCTTGAGAGGTGACTAACTTCTAGCTGTCTCTTATACACATCTAGATGTGTATAAGAGACAGATATTTTCTGTTTCATATATATCGATTATAGTGTGCTTGTCGTGCTCAATACTATTGTGTTTACAAACCAAATTGATTGTTATAAATGTCTATTACAGCATAAAAGCAATTTTCAAAAGAGGTTTCACTATATAATCAATATTTCTTGATAGTGTCAATCATAGAAATAGGTCAAGGTCTGACTCTGCATATGCGTGGTGTCATATTTCTTGTTTGTATCTGCTAGTTGCGTATCCTTTAAATAGTTCAAATTAAATACATCCTGTTCGCAACCTACCAATCTATAATAACAAGTTAATCTACTAGTCAAGGTCATATTTATATTATGACATGTTCCATGGTTCCTTTTTTTTTTTTTTTTTTTTTTTTTATTTTTATTTATTTTTTTTTCCAACGGTGGCGCTGAGGTCGTATTGACCCCTGTCTGAGAAAGTGCTTTCCTGGGTCCCCTTTATTTCGAATTGTTGGATCTGCCACTGCTTATGATACATAACAAATGTTCTACGTCTCTTGGCAATGTTATACAATAGAACCCCTGTTAAGGGGACAACATGTAATGATAATTCGCCAATCTCAGACGTCTATTTGGAAAATATTGTTTCAAAAGTTTTATGTATTTTATATGGGCTCGAGTTCATTAAATGAGTATTAAAACAATAATCCTTTAATTACCTATAAATAAAATTCACTTGACACATTCACTCTATTTCTAATTAGCGGTGGTATCAATTTAAAATAGAGATCAATATTTTGATAACATTAGCATTTGAGCACTTCTGCAGTGGATATGTGCGCTTTATAAATCAATTATTATTATTATTATTATTATTATTATTATTATTATTATTATATACAGGAATGTGTATTAATTAAAGGTGCAATATTTTTATTTAGGCTTGAAAAATACATTACATGAAACTCCCAATGAACTTAATTGATAAAATATGACAAACTAGCAACAGCCATCCAATTCTCCAAAATGCATTTGATCATACTCTATACTTAACTTTATAAACCATTATGATGTTGCCAATAAATCCTTTAGTATTATCTAGTATTAGTGAGAATTGAATAATTTACACATGTGATATTGTGACAGATGATGCTGAAATACATAACTTTTGAGATTATAGAATACATAGATGAGGATTTAGATAATTAAACGTGAAAAATTTCACATAAAACTTCCCTAATATTAATGCTTGAGCAAAATGGAGGCATTCATTATTATGTGATTAGCGTACTATATATCAATAAAACCATGAAGCTATAAACTAATAATTATTATCATTATAATCATTAAAATAAAAAATAACACAATAAAAAATGTGTTTACCGTGGATGGCATCAGACACGATAAAGCAGGAGAAATCATCTTAATCTATAATCCTCACAAAAAGTTACCTTAACGTAAAATTGTTGTTAAAAAGCAAGTACAAGTACTATGAAAAATTTAAATAAATATTGTAGTATTTATTTTTTAAGTCAATGTATTTTAACAATTTTGCTCTCACATTCAGCTATCTTGCTACAACCGAGAAAGTTTTAGAATGACTTATATTAATGTTGAGGAAATAATAAATTTAAGCATAATATTTAATCTGATATGAAATGTATTTTTTTTAAATATTTGAAATAAATTTAAGAAATAATTGATTTCACAGTAGCATATTCGACTAGAAATTTAGATAAGTGTATCAGGAAAACATTGTTTAAATCTCTTGTTGAGTTACTCTTCATTGCATACTTTGGCATCTGTTCCTGGGATAAGTTCAGGTAAGCAATTTGACATTTTTAATCGTAAGCCTTAACCACCGTATCGCGCCTGCATGTGATGGCTGGCAATGCAGTGATCGACGGCCTTGTGTTTACGTCTCTATAAACTCTGAATAAGAGCATAATTGATCTACTTTTAACTTTGATAAATACTAAACTATTTGAGATAGCGTCACCTTACGTAAAACTAAATGTTAAATGTGTAATTATTACATGGTAGTATTCCTAAACTACACAAATACAAAAACAAATAAGTAAATCAAACATGACAAGTTATCGGCTTATTTCTATGGTAGGCCTATGTAATATATGCAAAAACTGTCGAAAATTATTGTAAGTTCTATTGATTACTACTAATATGTATGATCAATAAGTAGAAAGTATGACACTTGAGACAATTAATTATTCATGAATGATTACATAATAATTTCATAATTATGTGGGTATGAATTTTTTATAGTGTTGATATATTAATTTGCATATGCGGGCATATTAATTTTCATATTTTGCTGGTATATTAATTTGCATATGCTGGTATATTAATTTGAATATGCAGGTATATTAATTTGCATATGTTGGTATATTAATTTATATATGGTTGTTTATTAATTTCCATAATGTTGAACTATTAATTTGCATAATGCGGGTGTGTAAATAATAACGATATTGATAAAATTAATATTAATTTCCATAACATTGATATATTAATTTGCATAATGCGGGTGTGTAAATAATAACGATATTGATAAAATTAATATTAATTT